CCCCCTTTTCCAAACATTTTTAAAAAAAATGTACTTTCTATGTATTCTGTGAGACCTCTGGTCAGGCCTGTCTGCAGGCTGTGTGCCTGTTTTAGGAACAAAAAGATCCATGACATCTCAACGAGCAGGGACCCGCATCCCTAAAGAGCCAACTTGTGTCTTGTAGGGCATTTAAAGAGTACTCAAAAACCCCTCTTGGAAATACTTAAACCCCTGCTTTCAGGAGCCAACGAAGTGACTCTGTTCTTTACTCAACTCTGATCTACTGCTGATCAGGCATGTTACCGCTACGTCATAAAGAGATAAGACCGGTCATTAAGAAAAAATGGATGGCTCTTGTTCCAACGAGAAGACACTGGACTAAAACAGTACAAATCCTTGAAAGAAAAAGAGTATTTCGGTGATCACTGGAATCTTAAAGTTCACATGCCGGTCAAGTTCGTAACCAACTATGCCATATCACTATCAGTCAGCTGTATACTGTGTGTCTTTCCCCTTCATGAAAGAACAAAAAGTACAAATGATATTGTAAAGTGTTTTGCATTAAAGTGTCCGTGTTGTACAATAAGATTACAGTGTGCAAAAAGATCATGTAGAACTGTTACAGGTCTTTGCTACTTTGGGCCTGTAGCGGGTACAGCTTCGAGAGAAAACAGACAGAAGTCACAATGGGAACAAAATACGCTTACTAAACATCACCATTTACATATTCCTTGCAATTCATGCACTTCACCCCGTTTACCAACAAAGATATAATAAAGCGTCGATATAATCCGACTGATTTGTTGAACAAACTTGAGGACGCCATGAATCATTCTGAATTTAGCTGGCTAGTAGGATAATTTTCAACTGTTTAGGTAGTGTGGTATTTACAATTCCGCAACTTTGTTTCGCTTTCTGCGTAAACTAAATAGGTAAAATTTGCAACTTCACTGTGTTTTTCAATGTTACGTACCTACGTACTATTTGAACAGTGGGAACATGCGGTCCAACATGGACACTGATACCTAGTTGATCAATTCATCGTGATTTCGGTCTTTTCCCTGCTTCTGTGGGGGAAGCCACAAACGTAAATAAATTATTCTTATCCAGAATGGATCACAGAGACACTCGATAAATTCAAGTCCAAACGGGACAGACGGTACACAAATGTTTTTTAAAGGTGAAATGGTATAGGTTTAACGCCACTGTCAACACTAATAGGTTATTTAAGAGGCGGGGCCTCCGAGTTTAACTTCCATCTCCGAAAGGACCGAGCCAAATGGGAAATTCGTGAAAAGTGCCTTTCCCAAGGACACAACGTCGGACCGAGCTGAGGCTCTAACTCCCGAACCCGCAATGTCACGATTACGAGCCCGGTAGTCTAACCACTAGGCTACCAACGCCACTACACAAATTAGATCAAAGAATCAAAATAAATATTCGACAAACAGGAAATCATAATACTTTGTGGATGACATAATAACATGGTGTGCATCATAACATTCCCCGTGTGCAACCCAAAATGCCCTGGCAACATAACTCAAATAATTGTGATCCCGGATCTATATAATATAATATCAACATTGTCATCGCTACAGCGTCAGGGGCAGAAACAACGCATACAGTAGAAGCACCAGAAGAACAACATTACAGCTCAGGGATTTATCGGGGTCAATCAAAATCTACATCCCCAGATTGAATTAACAGGTGAGTGTCATAGTATTGTTTTGTTGCATGTATAACTCACAATAGTGCTTGGAGCTGATCGGCTCGATTCACAACAGTAACAAACGGGTCGGTCCCAAATAGTAATAATAGCATAGTAATAACAATAATAATTATTATTATCATTATCATAGTTATTATAATA